GAGTGATTAAAATTGTGAATTATATACAGGCACTGCAAGGCTAGACCAGCACCAGTTGTGAAAGACAAAAAACAGCAAAAGGTAACCTCTAGCTCAATTTTGTTTTTTGGCCTGTGCGGCAATAATGAAATGTCTTTATTTTTTGGATTATGTCATGAATGTTAATTCTCTTGAAACAGGATAAGCGTTTGATTTTAACAATGGAAGACCTTTCAAAAGCTTTGCGTGAGGTAAANGCTTCTTCTTCTCTAAGTTCATGTATCCCGTGGTGGCTTTGACACTCAGACGTATAGAGTATGAGAAGAAAAAGTTGATGCTTCTAGTTTTTACNTATGCAAATGAGGCGTTGACCAGAACTAGAAATACAAATGGCATAAAACTAATTCAGTATCACATTATCAACATAAAAAGCTTAGAAATATGCGTAAGTGGTTATAATATTGTGGATTGCAATAGTCTAGATAGATAGGTAAAGTTTTTCTATCTTATCTCAATTACTAGTGGAAAGCTAACCAACGAATAAACTCGGTTTGGCAGTATGGTGTGAATGTGAAGCATCCAGAATATTTTGCTGATAGCCCTTCAACCGGAATGGATGCTGCGACAAGGGACGAATAGAAACTGGAAAGTCTTCATCATCTTTGCCTAGTAAGGATGATCTTGTGTGTGAGATCCCTGATTTTTCTGTTGTGTTTCAGTTAAAAACAAAACTCACATCTCTTCCTAGTCCATCTTTGTTGTTTGTTTCTCGACTTGCGTCTCTCTGGCAGGGTTGNTTACACCACTTATCTTCTATTTTTGTAATTATCCGAGGCGCAATAATAAGATAAGTTTCCATCTAATTAGCTGGGGAATGCAGAATTGAACAACCACAAAACGGCAGCGTTTTGAAGGGTAACCACTGGTGTTGGATAACTTAGAATGATGACCGGGAGTGAAATCCAATGGATTTACTCATCTGGAACATATTGGATAATGTTTGCCTTTTTTGTAAACTTTGTATTGGTCAAATAGTTGATGATATTTTAAAAGTTAAGAGAAATGAACAAAGAGTACAAGTATATATATATATAAGTGGGAGATGTATCTTATTTTTATTACACCTAATTTAAGTAATCTGTTTCCTTGAAATTTAGTTTCAAAGACATTGTTATCCATCAATTCATGTTTCTTTTTTTTGTTAGCCTACCATGTAAAAAATTTAGGACCACTTGTTTCAAAAGCATTATAAGCAATATTACTAAAAAATATAGACGATTTTATTCTTTTAATACATTCACTCATTAATGCACATTTCTTATAAATTTGTCGTGTAATAAAAATAAATAATAACTTTATCAATTATGGCAAAATCTAGTTATCAATTAAACCAGTACAATTTATTTTTTATTTTTTTAAATAAATGCGCACACGTGTTATGTTTTTGGTTTCGGTGGATCCAAACTAATT